CTCAAAAAGGAGTGTGCTCTGATTGTATAGTGCGTTGATTTGCTTTTCATTATGACTTGAATGAAATGCAAATTTTTGTATATATGCGATATATGACTTCGAACGGTTGAGCTCGTGCTGTAGATCATCAGAGTCGGCTCCAGCGCGGAGATGAAGTTGCCTGCCGTGTCTGTAACACTCAGCCCCAAATGCACGATTCATTTCAGGCAGTTAAAGTTGTTGAGCTACATCTCGCTTCACTTGCACATGCCAAACGGTGGATTAAGAGCAAGATTGACGTGCTTACATGAAGGCCACGATTGTTGACAGAAAGCTGCCTGCATAGCATAAGAAGCCCACACATGCGGAATTTTTTTTGCTGGCACCAGGGCTCTATGGTTATGGAGATTGCCCAATGCTTCCAAATCTGCGGCATCACCCGCCTTTCCCCAAACAAATCCTTCTTGGCTCCCTCGTAACACCGATCATCCTGCTGCCATCAGATTCAAAACAATCAGAATCCTGCACGTGAATTGACACAGGAAATCAATATGACGAACTCTCTGCCTTTCACGTTATGCATTGTGATTATGTGTTATGTGTTTACGCATAGATGTTTCTTAGCTTGTGTTGTGCTGCAACTTGGGCTCCAAAGTGCGCAGACTTCCACATGTAGCTTTCAGCTTTCATGCTTAGCTTGCTTCATAGCTTTTCTTACCCACCCACCCACTCCTGGGGTGTCTTTTTACGCTGTTGCTTCACACTCGTATACGCTGTTGCTTACACTCTTATCGTACTGTGATGGGTGTACTGTGATCTGCTTTCGCTTTGAACTCACTTAGGCTGTGCTTTGCTTCCCCCAATTCATCCATTGGGATGATGGGGATACAGATCCCAGATCTTGCCTACAGATCCCAGATCTCGCCAAGACAAAAAGGGAGTGCTGTCAATTAGTGTGCTTTCTTGTGCTTTGGCTGTGGAAGTCCAACGGTATGTAATGAACTGAAATATTCCCAAGTCTTCAAGGAATTAATGGGTGAAGATCAAGTTCTGGCCCCATCCACAATATCTGCTGATGAGATTTCAAGAAAGTATGTCGTCTTTGTAGACAGACCAGTCAGACTTGCTAAGCCAAACAGGGAAGCACAGCACAAAGTCCATCTCAAGCATGGAAGTTCATGAGAAAAGGGTGAAACATATTTTGTTTGGTTAGTCGGCTTGGACGTGGAGAAAGCTGCGTTTGGCAGTATTTCGTAAGCTTCGGGACAGGAAAAAACACAAGGATTCGCATTGCCTGCAAGTTAAGTGTTGTTGTTGTTGTTGTTGTTGTTGTTGTTGTTGTTGTTGTTGTGTTTTTTTGGTCCAAACAATGTGTCTGGGCCTTGCTCAGACATAGAAAATGCTGAGTTCATCCGTTTATCGTTTTCGGCCTGTGCCGTCTTTTCATCACAAGCGTCAATTGCTTTTGGTTGTTCCGGCAATGGGGCTCAGGGGCTAGGGTGCATGGATCTGAATGCACGGAGCGAGTCAAGTGTGAGCATGCAAAACTGTAGCCTAAAAAGCGTCACATCCCTGCAACTCGAACAGGCAAAAAAACAACCTTGCCCACAAGATCTTGCATGTCCAAAAACAAAGGCAAGGAACCGAGGACTCACTCTTGCCATCATTATCTGCCCGAAGATAGCCGCGAGCAATTACGCTGAATTGTGAGGCTTAACGGTAGGAAGGGTTGTCAGGTGCAAAACTGGTTCATTGCAATGGGCTCATGTTGTAGACAAATTCCTGCTTGAACAACAGGATCAGGCACAGCAAGGTACCAAAAATGGCACTTGTAAAATGAACAGAGCCAATGCCTGACCTTGCATTTGCTGTTCAAGAGTGATTCTTTGTCTTTGTGTCTTTTTTGCTCATGTGAAGCTTGCAGATGGTTCGTGTTTCGTGTTGACAGAAGGGTTACGATTTTGTTGCACGGAAACATCCATGAGAGCCATGATGCCAAAAGCCTGTGCTGCATGGATCTTGCACATTGCCTTGGGACAAGCGACATCGGCTTCCAACGTGGCGGAATCTCCATTGAGCCTCACACAGCTTCAACCGCATGGGGATTTTGTGCCTCGGTCAGTGTGAGCAGGGTTTCTTCCCATACGCCGAACTTATTTTGTTTGATCGCTGACCATGGATGGGTGGCAGTAAGTTCATAAAACATCTGGAATACAAGACGAGGTGCAGTCGCCGCTTCGCCCGGTTCGCTTTTCCTTTGCTCCCATCATTGGGCAAAGGTTCCTGCGTTCTGAAACAGCATGACTTTGCCGTTTATGTCCAAATGCATGAGCAGCACCAGCTCGAAACGCTGCCAGCCAGGCGCGGTGTGGTCATGAAAGGCTTCTGGCTACAAGTGCTTCGCCGTGGGTTGGAAGTTTTCAATCGTAGCTTCGCTACTGAGTAGCTTGGGTAGCACTTGGCCATGAAGTCATGGTAATGAAGGTTTTTCAAGTGCAAGTGCGTGCATCTAGGCTTCCGGTTGCGGAAGTGCCACTTCCACCAGGAAGGTATCATTGGCAGGTGGCGCATGCGCTGGTGAACAATTTCTTGCCACCGTCGCAAGCCGTGGTTTTATTGCAACATGATACCAGCAATTTTGCTTCCGACAGGTGCAATGGTTCAGCACTCGTGGTGAGGCCAGTTGCATCTCAAGGAACTGAGAGCTGCAAAGAGAAATGCGCCCACTGCAGGTATCTGCAGTCGCATCTTCAAAGGTCGTGGTTGCCGACCAAGATGATATTTGGACGGCAGGGGCGTTGTTTGGATTGCTGTGACATCTTGCATGTGCAGAGCTATCGTTGCATGATTGTATTTGTCAGGGAATTCCTTGGATGGGGGCGAACGATACGAACGAGTATGAGTCAGAAATTTCCAACCTCAATGTGAGCAAGCAGGATGAGGTGGAGTTGCGGGATTTAATTCAGTTGAATTGCCCGAGAGAAGTTGGGTTGAATTATTTTGTTCGCTGGTGTGAGTAAGTGCTTGTTTCGACAAGGCTATTGGTGGCAACATTGGGCTTTGGCTACGTGCAGATCAACGGGCAGGAAGTGTCACAGGTGCAGACCTGGGCTTCATGTTTGAGATGTGCGTGGAGAATCGTTTGGCCAACCCAGCCATTGGGCAGGACATCCTATCATATTCGGGATGGACACGGACCGATCGGCGTGTTCTCTATCGAACGTATGACGTATCCCAGTTGCTGAATGCAACTTCTGGTGGGCATTTGTTGGTGGCTCTTGGATGTGGGTACAGGTATCTGCGCTGACCAAAGTGTCTGCCTTTGCTCGAGCTGTTTGTTTGTGCCCCTGAGCGTCCGTGACAAGGTGTGATGCGCATGGGAGATTTCCAGCATACAAGGACCAAGCCCACCGTTCGCTGGATAGCATCGCGAAGGTTTTTCGGCTCCAGCTGCGAGTAAACGGGCAACTTGGAGCAGAAGATTTCTAGTTGTCAGCTCTGCTTCAGACCCCTCTCTCCGTCTCAAAATCGGCGGCGCAAGCAATCTAGCTTGGAGCGCTTAGCGAGCGCGTACTAAGCCGTCACTAAGCAGGAGAGGGTTCTGCGTCGTGACAGAGGCCTGGCTGCAAGCGCTAGCTGAGCGCTCACCAGCCTCGGGACGCTAGCAGGAGTAAAGACGGAAGTGACAGGCTTCCTTTCATGGACACGGTTCAGGGCACGCTGCCATTTCTTGGTCATTGGATGCTGCTTGGGGATAAGGATGAGCCTCTTACGTAATGCGTCACAAGACACTTGGCCACACGGCATTGCCATCACAAGTCTTCAATACCGTCCCGCGCAATGTTGTATTTAAGCTACTTGAAGAATCTAGATGGGAACGCTTGCCAAATCCTGGGAGTCCTGGTAGGCACTTTCTTGTTTGATAGTACTAGGCCATCAGGGTGATGAATTGTGCTTCAGCAGTACCCCTTGTATTAGCAAGCAAAAGTCCTGCCTAGCCTGCCATGCTTCGGGAATAGGCAGGCCTGCCTGAAAGGGTCAAGGTCAGGACCTCTCGAGGGGGAAGTGGTGCAAGAAACAGGCGAGCATGAGCAGGTTCATGTGTGGTTTACAAGAGGTGGTGGAGGTGGTGCAATTCCCAAGCACTGATTGGAGAAGCCGCTGGATAATTTGATTGCTGTCATGCCTGCATTGATTCCAGCTGTTCTAGTCTGTCCACAGCATGCTGTCAAGTCGCAGCGTGTTGAGCTTCATTGTATCGAGCCTCGGGGTTGAAGCTCAGGCAAACTGTCTTCCACACCGGCACGCCAAAGGCCTGGCGCCGACGCCGGGGCGCGGCACTTGAGCTCAAGTAAGTGAAGAGAGCTCCAAACCTAGTAGCCACAGTTTGCATTCTTCAATCGGTAGCACGATTGCTGCCTCGGAGGCGAGGATGAGTGGCATGTAGGGTCAAGCGAGGGCAGAGTGGGGAGGGTGTTGAGGAGGGGGCATAGAAGAGGGAGCGGGGAGGGGGCGGCAAACTTTGCTTGATCGCCATGGTGGGACATGCTCCAGGACCTGGGACTGGCCCAAGCAGCCAACGTCCGAGGAAAACTCTGTCGCTGAAAACCGTCAAGTGGCGCGTCTGGGAGGTGGGTTAGGGTGCGAGAACGCATTTCTGACTAGCGGTCTTTAGATCCACACGCCTTAGGGCTTTAGCCTCGGCGGATTGGTCAATAGCTGAAGGGGTGTGAATGTCAGAATTGTTTCAAGTCACAGTGGAGCTGGTGCTTGCAAGAAATCTGACCAGCTTGCTGATTTGCCAATGAGGTGATACAGGACTCTGTGTATGATGGTGAAGTATATGCTCCTCAGGCCGTTGGACTCTTGGCTGTGTTTTAGGTCAGTGTGTCATATGCATGGCAGGTTTCTGAGGGCCGAGACGTCAGTGAAGATGCTCGTATCTTAGGCCCCTGGATGCCTTCGGTGGCTCTTCCCCAGGGTCATGGACCAAGTGGTGCCATGGTGGCGGCATCCTTTCCTGGGGTTAAGGCAAGGCACGTCTGTGTGGAGACTTACACTGCCAGCCATGCTGTGGCCAGGTGACCCGGGTTGATCATCCCGTGTCCATCTCGCGTCCAGTCTGTCAGATGCAACTAGCATATGCTCCATCGTTAGCTGGGTGTTTGAGCAGTTGGCTGCCTGGTGGGTTGTGGCTTCTCCACTGATGTGTGATGCAAGCTTCCTGACTCCAAGGCCGAGGATGTTTATGTGGTTGACTTCGGATCAAACGTTGCCGGGGTTTGCGAAATATCTGTGCCGGGAGCAGCGACTGTGTCCCTCAAGCATGGATTCTTAGCTTCAACAACTGCGGTCAGCTGATAGGTGTTATATTGTTTGCTGCCATGCTGCACGTTGTGCCTTTCTTTTAAGGTGAAGTGCTGCAGCATGCTGCCATGCCCTCGAAGAAAGTGGATCCGTCGCGTGTGTACTTCGGCAATCTGCGGTGGGTGTTGCAAAGTCTCAGCAACTTTTGTTCGCGGAGATGTTCAGCTACTAGCTGCCTGTAGGTCTGCGGCTGCGAACGACACGCTGGTATTGGATGGCCCCATTCAGAATTGGAGGCCTAGATTTACATATCATGGCTTTCGCTATGTAGAGGTCCATGGCTTTCCTGGACTCTTGGCCGCACTGCTCTGCTGTGCTCTGCTGTTGCCAATATGAAAGGCTCTTGTGGAAGGCGGAAAGGAGAACCGAGGCGATTTGACCTCAAATCTGATCAAGCGGCTTGCCTCTTGGACAGCAAAAACGTTTCTGGATCGGTGTGAAATCTGAAGACCTGGGAAGGTGATGAACACGGCGCTCGCAGATCAGGTCAATGTGACCCTTGAGGACGAAGTCCTTCAGGCGGGCCAGGAGCAGACGTTTCTGCTGTGTGATGCAGTAGTATCCGAGCAGTGTGAGGCGATCCACACAGGCTCCAAGGGAGTTCAGAGGTCGAACTTGATGCAGGCATGCGCAGCATGCCTCAGAATGCCTTGTGGAAGCTGTGACCTTGGCCTTTCTTGTGTGGAAGTAGGTGCCAACTGACTGCCCTCAACGGGATGAGCGACTTGGTTGGATGGGCGATGCGTCGCTGTCTGCCGCATCATTCATGGCTCACTGGAAGTACAAAGATATGGCCTCTTGGACTTCAACGGAGATGACCACGACAGTCAATGGGTTCTAAGAACGCTCGAAGCGAGGTGTCCTCGTTCTTGGACTCCATGGTGGATGAGTTGGGGGCGGATGGGTCGTTGCCGGATGTGGTTCCCTACCAACGCTTCGGAGGGCGGCCAGCTGATCTCTCCTGGAGCGCAGCCTTTTTGGAGAACCTGTGGACCATTTGGAAGAGTGAACCTTGGAAAGCAAGCCTACTTAGTTACTTAGTGTTTGCCAGGGCGGGAAGTAGTTGGCTTGTCGATCCCCAAGGACGGTGACCTGAAGCCTGCTGAGAAACACTGGCAGAGCGTGAAGGCCCATGTGAACAGCCTTCGTGCCACCTACACTGCAGCAGGGACGCTCGTTGGCCAGTCTGTGGCAGTGTCATGTGCCAGCAAGCTGCTGTGTTAGGGACTACTGGGCTTGTGCGAAGCAAGTTCATAGGATGGGCAGTGCATGATAATTTTGGTCGGCCTTTTGAGCTGCTCAGAAACGTCACGAAGCTGCCGCAATCCTATGGCGACTGGTGCCCTCCTCCCAGGACTTGTTGCATTTGCGGCAGCTACCCTGCCAAAGACAGGTGAGCACCTACTGCATGTAAACTAAGAACAGGACCCCAGGTGGCAAAGTGACCGAGACGCCTCCAAAGGGCTTCACTTCTGCGGCTTCCATGCTTCGGACTGTGCAGCAAGCCGCAGAGCTGGGCACCGCACTGGGAGAGGAAGATGCTAAGTGGATGCGAGACTGGCACCAGAAATTGCTGCAAGAGTTCCATGCAGGCCAAACCGGTACAAGCGCCTGCGCATGTTGCAGATGCATGAAGGCCTGCTTATCTCCAGTGCAGGCTACTACAATCCTAGCAACCAGACCTATGCGAATGGCGTGATGGCAAGCTACGTGCTTCCTTTGGCACTTGGAGCTGTTCCGACTTCGGAGATCAAGGCAGTGTCAGACGGGCTTCTGAGGTGCCTCGTCCCAAGTCGTTACTTCTTCTAGTACCACTGGCTGTCTCCGTCCTTGCTCTGGGATTCAGTGGGGTTCTCCCCGACCTTGCCTGGTCGATGCGTTACAGGTACATAGCGGAGAATGGCAACACATGGACTGGGGGCTGGGCACCCGGTCGATCCTAATTCTGAACGTGATAACCTGGGCCGTAAGGCACTCTGCCAGTAGCTGCAGCAACTGCGTACAGACAACCCATGAAAGTGAGGCATAATTACTGTGCGCTTCCTCTTTGACGTGCTGCATGACATTGGGGCTGCTGCTACTGCCCTCTCCATGTTGCAGAAGAAGGACTCGGGATGCCATAAGGGAGGCCTAAGAGTGAAGCGTGAGAGCTGTCTTCAACGCAGCTCACGACTTGCTGGCAACTCTTCCTTTGATGCAAGCCGTGCTTCACAAGCCCTGGGTATGGTGCTTTCGGTGCTTTTCATGTCACTTTCCGTTCTTGCTTACAACACCTTAACGCTAGCTAGCTGTAAAGCTTTCAGGGTGGGATGTCTGACACCACGCTCCAAGCAAATGTCGATTGTGCATTGTTGAATGATTTTGGGTTGATCGTTTTGGGATCCATGACACATGAATGCAGACATCTTTTCTTTACAGCTGCTGCCATAAAGAATCGAGCTGGCTTGAGATTATTCGGCGTTGACCAACGGTTTGGCAACAGACCAGCTAGGCCAGAGCTTGTCTTGGTTTTGGAAATGCTTGGGTAGCACTACGGTAGCATTGAATTAAGCCACAACAACATGAGAAGGACCTACTTGTGGCCATTGTGCCTTCAAGCGAGTCTCCGCACCCTCAAAATGGTGCTTCATCATGCCCTTCGAGAATTTAGCCAAGGCAAAACCAAAGCTTGTTTACACGACAAGTCACGAATTCAAACGAGCTTTTGGGCTTCCCAGTTTTACGAGAGAATCAATGCACTGGAGTGGAAATTACCAAGTTAATGCGATGTCTTGCAAAAGAAGGCGTACTGAAACCAGAGACCTGCAAGTCTAGCCTTCACATCTACTTTCAAAATGGGCGAGAGATGCAGGATTCTTGCAATGTAAATGCGGCTTTGATGCATGGGCTCCCCGAAACATGTTGAGAGTGCCTCATTTAGTGAGTAGCATTAGAAAATTTGGGGGAGTTGGTCAGTCTGATAGTCTTAGCACTACTCTATGAATGCTAGTGTCGCATCGGCATCAGCATTAGTATTACCATTAGTTATCAGTTTTAGTGTGGTTGAGCATGACCTGCAGGACCTCATTAATTTCGGCTATCTCCAGCTTCTTGTTGAGCCCACAAAGCCTACTGACTCTGGCGTTTTTCAGACATTGAAGAAGACTTCTCAACAATTCTATTTAAGAAGGGGTCCATTCTAAGTGCAGAATTTTCACAGAAATTGTTCAGGGCTAGGCAAAGTAAGAAATTGGTATTAACTGGAGCTCTGGACTTCGAGCTCTTTGACATTCACGCGTTAAAGCGAAGGGCTGCCAGAAACAAGGCCTAGGCCCCCAAAGCTTCTAAGATTAAGCACAGCCCGAAGCAAGTTCATTAAGTCATATCCTTACTCTCTGTGGATTTGAAGTGTTGACATGCAGACAATGCAATTCCACCCAAACCCAGAGCTTGGCAGAAGCCTCAGCAAAATGTTGTTGCATGAGCCAGCTCAGTTGCAGTCTGAGCAAAGGAAATTCACTGAGCACTCAAAAATGAGTGCTCATATTAAGTTTTATATAACGTGAACCAACAACAAGAAGATTGCCTTGCTGACTGAGGAGTAAGATTTATGATTGTTTAGCTGTTTCTTGATGCTTGAAATCTGTTTATTTGCTACATTCCGCCAACAAACCAAATTTGTCCGTTGAAACCTGAAGACCTTTCAAACCTCCTCTTCTGACCCTGAAAATTTCGCATTAAACATGACCCCTCCAAAACAATGTGAAGACTATATGGGAAGGGCGGAAAGACTTGACATTGATTATGGTACCCAAGCAAAAGCCAGTCCCACATCGATCTAAACGCCCCAGGCCTCCAGCCTCGGCGGATTCATTTTGCGCGCCGTATGTTGTAGGAAAATACCTTTGGCTGCCACAGGCCCTCCCTTGCATCTACTGATGCCCCTGTCTCCGTTGAGGAGGACGGAAGATGAATTTTCAATCATGTGTAGGTCTTTGTGAGGGAGTGGTTTGTAAGGATGATGGAGATGTTTCAGTTTGCAAAGATGCCCGTGACAACAAGGACGGTCTACAGTTGTGGCCGCACTTCATAAGTTTTTCTTTGCCGACTGAGGCTGTGCACGCAGCTGGTGTCAATGCTGTGTTGTTCTCAGCTTGTTACTTGTGTTTTAGGCAGACCTAGTGCAGAGCCTGATATCTGGGGTACATTGCATACTAAGAATTCGGTCACGTCCGGGTAGAATCCAGTCTGCCAGAGCATTGGGTATGTACAGAAAGCCTTAAAAAATCCAAGAGTATATAGTAATATAGTATTGACTTCGTAACACACAACATACAGCTTTTGCGCATAGTATTTGCAATACGCATCGTAGTGTTTACATGGCGCTAGAAGTGAGGGCCAAGTTGCCGGATGCAGGTGGCCATGCCCTTCAGGACCGATCGGCTGTGTCAATGCCAGTAGTTTTAATCTCTTTTGTTATCAATCTGCGGTGCAGGGTCATTGTAGTAGTACTGCAGTCGCGGTGTACCAGCACTAAAGTGCCATTGTAATCTAGGTGTGGGTCTCCCAGGATTTTCAACTCATTATTATATACCACAATATATTATAGTATATTATAATACTTTGTTGAGTATCCTTTCCTTGCACCGAAAGCTACTTGCAGCCTGGTCATCAGGCCTGGCCACCACCCGAAGTCGAAGCGCGTGACGTCTCCACGTAAGCCATGGCCTGGCTATTGGATTTCGGGCTCAGGCTGAACTCTGCAGGGAGGAGAAGATGGCGAAGGTAAGGGGGTCACCGGTCTTAAGTTCTTGGCGCTGTAAAGCCGCAGGCCCCAAATCACCTTGCCGCGGCTCGAGATCTCCACCACGAGAGGGCTGCAGAGGAGCGTTAGTGCGTGCAAGCGCTAGGCCGAGCAAGGGTGCTGCTTCGGCTGGTTGCGGAGGGCTTCCATTCCGAGCCAATTGGCTTAGCAGACTTAGCGCTCGTGGTGAGCTGGGTCAAACATGGATCTTCAGGCACTTTGCAGGCATCTTTGTGGATGCCTCACACACGCCCTGCTGTGTCCGCAACTACTTTGAGGCTTTGATAGAGGCGCCCATTGTTGCAGCTGGAGCTTGCTACACTTGGCTGAGAGTGGTGCTAGGCCGGAAAGCGGCTGCGTAGCCCGATTACGAGTGGCGTCATCGTGACCCGCTCATTTTCTTATTTCTTTTGCTTTGAGGTTTTGGTCTCTGCTGGTGCGTGTCCGAGGTTCTTTTGCTGGACGGAAGCCGACGACCCGCTTGCGAAGAAGGTGACGTTGTGCTTGTTCAGCTCTTTTTGCTCACGGTGCTTCTTCCCATTTGTGCAACAAATTGACATGCTGTAACGTACTTGAATCGGCTCTTGCCATTTGAGCGACCGCTTTCAAATTGCGTAAGAGCCAAGGCAAGGCAGAGATAGAATCCAGGGGCATGAGCAAAACCCTGGTGAAGCGATAGGCCCCCCCCAAAGCGATACCCCCAAAATGGATGACAGCAGTGTGCAGAAACCCTGTAAAGCGATAGGCCGATAGGCGCCCTCCAAAGCGATTTTATTTAGGTATGTGCTCATTTGTGCAGCAATTTCATAAGCACCTTTCAGATTGTGCATTGCGTGCAATGGCCGGCATCTACATTGAACTTGGCGTTGCAGATTCCTGCTTGCATTGAAGTTTTCAGAGTCCCCATGTTGTCAGTGCTTCTAGTGCAGTGCGTGGGGCAGGCGCATCAGTTCAGGAGGATTATGTACAACGCAGACCAGATAACTCCGTGGCCGTGGCTTGGGCTGGTGTTGGTGAAGCTGGATGTCGAGGTGATAAGAGTGTTCCGCAAGGGGGTGTGATTCAGCAGTGGCGCAACCCAAGGTGCCTCGTGATCTGCTGGCGGGCACTTTGTCTGGGCCTTTCCAATCATGAGGGGCGCGACCAAATCCTGGCCAGGAGATGGAGCCAAAGTGCATGAGGGGCTAGGGATGTGCTTACCTGAAACAAACTTACAAGGAGATGATCTACCACTGTAATGCGTGTTGACTTGCTGCTTGTTCTGCGCCGGTTTATCAGGTCGCCGCTTCGCGAGCACGGCGAGGCGCCCGCCTCGCGCACTGGCATCATGATCACAGATGGGTATCTGTTTCACCCCAGCAGTATTTGGGAAAATGTGTCTGATAAATTCCTGACATCATAAAGGCTCAAAGATTGACAGCGCCATAGTTCAAACCCTCATGTGCCTTGAACAAGTGTAGCCTCCCCAGTGATGTTGATGATGCTTCACCAGCGGACAAGCACCATCGTCATTATCGATGATCTGCTTCTCCCAGTAATACCTTTCTTCTGAGCTCTGAAACGCATGCGAGCAACCAATGCTTCTGAGTCAGCGCAGCCAAATCCATGCTAAGCTCGCCAAGATGCAAACACATCAACAGGTCCAAACTCCTCGATTGATTCAAGGCGGTTTGCGCAAAGGCCAGTCAAAGACTCAAAGCTCCAGACTTGTGCAACGAGTGTGAGAGCAGCCGGGGCCTGTTCCCACACCCCTGAACATCAAGCAAAAGCTACCCAGTGCTTACGTCGTCCCTTCATATTACGTAAAGAGGATATGGGGGAAGCCCACTTTTGCTGGAAAGATCTACATAGGTCAGGGCTACCATGTCCTCCTCGTTTGTTTAGACTCCAGTGCAGATTTTGCTCAGTATGAATGCCCGCGCGACGTACATAATCCGTATGTGATCCTCACGCGTGGCCTTTGCTACATGGCCTCTACATACTCTTGTAAACTACACGGGCCTACAGCTTCGAGGATCTCGAAATAGGCCCAGAAGAAGATCAGGATAAGGATTCAAAAGAGGCCCTCAGCGTTTTCCCCTTCCAAGCTCGACCTGCCGTGTTGCATTCTAAGCTGAAGACATGCGCCAGGAAGGCGAACTGTCTCCTGTTGGACGTGGCGAGTTGGAAGCTGGACTCCTACAGTCAAAGTCGCCTCAGAGCCTCAGCTCACTGGGTGTTGTAGGCATGAATGCTAAGGCTTAGAGGGTCTTCAGGGTTGGTCTTGTTCAGATTGGCAACAGTTGATCTCTCCAGATCATGTCACGAGACCTCCTGTCGAATCCGGACAGCCGTGCGATGCTCGGCTTGTCCTGATCCCCTTTCGACAACAATAGCGTTGAACACGATGTCGACCTGGCAATACAGGGCTATTTCGTGCTGCAAGCCCTCATGCTTTGTGTCGTTCAGGACCAGGGCGTTGAGGAGGGTCTCGAGGACACAACTGAGGCTCATGCATGGTAAATGCCAGCCAAGTATGCCCACACATTTGTGCATGGTCTTGCGGCGCTCAAGCTCGTTTTTGCTATACCGAGTTTTTCAAGTCTACACTCTGTCATGCTTTGCCATGCTGTATCGTGAAATAATTGCCTCTATTGCCACGTAGGCTGTTGCTGCCACAAAGCGCGAGATGAAGAATCACGAGCCGGTCGGGCGCAGTGTTCAGGATGATGTTGGGTAGCGGTGGGTAATGATACAATGCAGCATAGTAGTCCTGTAGTATACTAGTTCAATGTTGCAGGTATAATGCAGGGAGAATATAGTATTGCAATACTAGCAGTATGTTGTAGATGTAATGTGGAATTTCGCAGCAATATTCAGTGATCCTGGTTGCGATGTCCAATCTTGAACGGCGTAATGTCGGGCCTGCCTTTCGTGTTGCAGGCCTGTGGCAACTGTTTGCTGGTCGCCTTCAAAGGCGCTTGCGTTTGGGGTTCTGGGTTTGGGATGTGCAGTGACAATCCCAAATAGCGTACATCACTGGGCATTCTGTGGCGCGCAGTGCATGATTCGAACCTTGGAACAAACCCCTGAACCGAAGCCCTACACTTGTTCTGCTTTGTTTCTGTTGTTTTTGTGCGGCTTCAACCTCTCCCTCCTTTGTGTTTTTCTGAGTCACGCTTTGGAATTGTACCTATGAAGTTTGAAGCAAATAAGGCTTGGTAATTGGACAAGCCCCTGCAAGATCTGCGAAAGCTTTGTTGAAGCTGGAGTGCTGCCCAGTCCTTTGCGAGGCTTGTTCTCCAAAAAGAAGGCCTGGAGATTGCAAGGGTTCCGAAGGTTGGAGCTTGGAATTTTCGAGCCTGCATCACTGCAGGGCAGCAATATTACCTACTTCGTTTTCCTATACAAGTACGGTGCTGCACTACTCTACTTGGGGTTTCAAACATATAAGCATACAGAAGAACTTTTTTCAGCGTCGAAAACAAACTTTTCAAGCGTAGAAGAACATAAGGAACCATGCCAGGAAGCAAGGATTGCTCATCATTTTCCTCAATTTCATCAGCTTCAGAAATCTCATCATTTTTCATCATAGTCATCACCATTTTCATGACTACATAATTTGTTTTTATCCAAAGCTGTTCCTTCATTTCCATGATGTTTCGTTCTTTTCTCATGATGTTTCATGGTTTTGCATGATTTTCGATCATTTTTCATGATTTTTATGACATTCGTTAGATGTCTCACTACTTTGACATTGTCAAATTTTTTCGGGATGTCCATGGTTTTCATCATGCTCTCTCCTCCTACCCCATCAAAAACAAGATGCAGCCAGCAAGTATTGCTTGCAGTGTGTTTCTTTTTGGCAGCAAACCCTGCCTACCCACAATGTGCATACATAGCGTAGTTAGCATGGTCAAGAGCACATGAAGTCAAAATACATTGGTTAAGTATTACCTGTACACGCCTTGTCTACATGTACTTGATTACAAACCACAGGAGGAAATAAACATCTCAAAGCAAACTAGGACTACGGCGCCTATTCTGCCGTGTGTTTTCAAGGACTTGCGCAAGAGCAGAAATTGGCCGGACCAGACATTCGTGCAGGAATTTACAGCACTTCGTGTCCTTGCTTGAAAATGTGCGCAAAACGCCTTTTCCATGCAGAAAAGGGGCCTCGCACTGTAAAGTAAAGGCTAAAGTCCCGTTTTGGGGGTCCCCGAAACTAACGCGGAAACCAGCTTCGTGCTGTAAATTTTCACACGAACAAGGCGCGCAAGGAGCTGTTGTTTTCAGAGCAGGTTCATGCGGTTGAAAACTTCTGCGGAGTTGCGGACCCAATGGACTCACGAACGTTATTGTGGTTTGGGCATGGAGGCTCCCGTCAGCGTATTTCTCTCGAAGCACGAATGGTATTGTGGTTTGGGCACGGATGCTCCGGTCAGCGTATTTTTCTCGAAGCAAGAACGTTATTATAGTTTGGGCATGGATGCTCTGGTCAGCGTATTTCTCTCGAAGCACGAACGTTATTGTGGTTCGGGCATGGATGCTCCGGTCAGCGTATTTCTCTCGAAGCACGAACGTTATTGTGGTTTGGGCACGCATGCTCCGGTCAGCATATTTCTCTCGAAGCACGAACGTAATTATAGTTTGGGCATGGATGCTCCGGTCAGCATATTGTTCTCGAAGCACGAACGTAAGCATAGTTTGGGCATGGATGCTTTGTCAGCGTATTTCTCTCGAAGCACGAACGTAATTATAGTTTGGGCATGGATGCTCCGGTCAACGTATCTTTTGAAGCACGAACGTAATTATAGTTTGGGCATGGATGCTCCGGTCAGCGTATTTCTTTCGAAGCACGAACGTAATTATAGTTTGGGCATGGATGCTCCGGTCAGCGTATTTCTCTCGAAGCACGAACATTATTATAGTTTGGGCATGGATGCTTTGGTCAGCGTATTTCTCTCGAAGCACGAACGTTATTGTGGTTCGGGCATGGATGCTCCGGTCAGCGTATTTCTCTCGAAGCACGAACGTAAGCATAGTTTGGGCATGGATGCTTTGTCAGCGTATTTCTCTCGAAGCGCGAACGCTATTGTGGTTTGGGCATGGATGCTCCTGTCAGCGTATTTCTCTCGAAGCACGAACGTAATTATCGTTTGGGCATGGATGCTCCGGTCAACGTATTTCTCTCGAAGCAAGAACGTTATTGTGGTTTGGGCATGGATGCTCCGGTCAGCGTATTTCTCTCGAAGCACGAACGTAATTATAGTTTGGGCATGGATGCTCCGGTCAGCATATTGTTCTCGAAGCACGAACGTTGTTATAGTTTGGGCATGGATGCTTTGGTCAGCGTATTTCTCTCGAAGCACGAACGTTATTATAGTTTGGGCATGGATGCTCCGGTCAGCATATTTCTCTCGAAGCACGAACGTAATTATAGTTTGGGCATGGATGCTTTGTCAGCGTATTTCTCTCGAAGCGCGAACGCTATTGTGGTTTGGGCATGGATGCTCCGGTCAGCATATTGTTCTCGAAGCACGAACATTATTATAGTTTGGGCATGGATGGAGCGGAACTGCAGCCCATGCAAGCTTAGCACCCAGACGAGCTCACGTTGATGAGGCAAGTACTAGGCCCATGGCAAAAAGGAAGATGCTTTAGGTCAGGATATTGGCAAGTGCAATGCCACCACTTACTTGAGAGGACTATCCGTCCTTTGGCTACATGTGGCTTGTCTCAAACCAGACAGGGCATGACAATCTGGCACTATTTTTTTGACGACAGGAGCAATAACGAACAGCAATAATGCGAGGTACTTCAATGAGTACGAGCCGGCCAACGAAAGTGTGCGGGCTTGCAACTATAAATGCCTTGCATGCTTGGTGCAGGGTACTCTATAAGGCATGTGGGAAGTGCCTGATGCGCCTTACTGCGGCCCGGGCATGAACTCCAGGGCTCACCACATGTATTCCTCGGTGGGCCACTACTTGACCACGCGGGTGGCAGGCAAGGATATGCCTGAGCTTGTTGCTGATTGAGCTTTTTGTGGCAATGTGATGGTTCTGAGGCATTTCGCTGTCTGGCGGCCACCACGTGAAAATGGCAGTGGGCCAACTTGATGGAGTGTCACCCTGGTTGCAGTTGCGTTTTAGTTTCAACATGGGTGGTACACTTGATACACATGCTGGACAAGACCTTAGCAAGCGACCGGGGATGCCTGGTCTTCGGTGCCAAGGAGGGCTTCGCACGGCACAGACTTTGGAACTGTTCACTTCGGCTGGACCAGGAATCCAGAGTTGAAGGTTGAGGCTGACACGGAGCCTGTTGGAGAATGATAGGGTGGAATGTGTTTCGCACGGCCGTTTGTTACTTTGTACCGTTGATATGTTTGTGTTGCCCTCTCGTAGGCTGGAATTGCAATGGCTCTCTATTTTGGCTGCTTCCCTGAGCAGGTATTTGTTCCAGTTGGTATCGTGGCCGAGCTTTACATTCCTCTGAGGGACGGCCGTATGAAGCTTCTCTGCAATGAGAAACTGGAAGGAAGTTCCTGCGATGTAGGTGTGGATTTCAGTTTTGAAGAGAGCTCTCAGAGCTTTCGCTTTTTGGTACCCTCTGGTGCCCATACATTGGTTGCTGAGCGCAGTTGGCCGGCACCAATGGGACAACTGGGCAAGTTCATTGTATAGCAAGCAAAGGGCAAAGTGAATGCCCCGAAGCTTCGAAGAGCTCGTGATGGGTTGGGCTTCCGTTCTGCGTTCGACAACTTTACCAACCTTGATATGGGGTCCTGTCCCTGTGTTCGTGGAGATGCAAGAAATTGCTTGGCCACTAGCCCTCGCATCACAAAGAGGCTTCCTTCGAATTCTGTTTAAAGTTAACTGCAGATTGGCCGAACTCCGTTTCGATAGATGAGCAGTTCTCGAAAAAAAGATCTGCAGCATTTTGCCTGTAACCTCGCTTCAGTCGGCCATTTTGCAACACATTCAGGAGACATTCAGTAAATCTCAAGAAAGTGAGGGATTGGACTTGCGCCGCATTGCTTCAAGAGAATTCGCTTCCTTCTTAAACACTTGGAGTATGAAGATGTGGCACTTTGGAAGGCCTTCTGTACCTGAACTCATGGATGGCTGCCTTCGCCACAGCGATTCTCGTAGCATTATGCGGACATGTGGAGGCAGCATATGCAAAAAAGCGCCAACGGAACAATTTGCCATGGCAGTCCGAATCCACACAAGATCAGTTCTTGGTGGAACACGTTTTCAGGAACCGCAAGGGTGGCTTTTTCATCGAGGCTGGAGCAGCCGATGGCAAGCACTTCTCCAACACATTTGCCCTGGAAGTTGGCATGGGATGGTCCGGGATCCTCATCGAGCCCATCGCGGACCAGGCCAGAAGGTGTGCGCTCAACCGCCCTGCCTCGGCCTGTATCCACGCATGTGTTGCAGGCTGGGAAGGGATGGATGATTTCTTACAAAACAATAATTTCCCCCTGGGCAGTGGCTTACTCCGGTATCCTGAAAACGCAGACACAGCTTCCAGTGAACGGATCAAGGTGCCTTGCACGACTTTGTCTACCGTCCTGAGAAAACATGCTGCCCCTGTCTTCATTGACTGGCTTAGTCTGGATGTGGAGGGTGCCGAGATGGAGGTCTTGCGCCCTTTGTTGATTGACGGCACCTTCAAAATTGATGTTATCAGCATTGAAGCCTTCGCGCATCAAGCTATCGATAAGTTCAATTTCATGCGTGCCCATGGTTATCAGCTTTTGGACCGGGTTGGCGACGATGTTTATGTTTTGGGATGGACATCAAGTGAGAGCAGTTGTGAGGGTTTCAGTGGCTCTTCTTGGATTCGTTGGAAGCTCACGCAACGAATCTCTGATCACTTCGGGAGCCGCCACCCATTCTCGCGGCAGCTTGAGCAAGAAAAAGCCCAGACCACTCGTCGCCTGAACCAAACGGAACGAACCATGCTTGATCGCTTTGCGGCTTGGGCTGAGAAGAGGCAGTGCAAGGTGGGGACGCTGAGCTTTTTGGTTCTGAAAACCATACTCAGCGAGAGGTCTGATGTACTGAGCGGCATCTGCACTGGACACGGTTTGATGCATGAGGCAGCCTTGAAAAGGTTTGTGGCTCCAGAGAGGTATGACGACTGTACTCCCTTTTATTCCTTGCCGTTAAGTCGTATGGACTTTACGCTTATGCTTTCAAGCCCTTGGCCCTGCTTTCTGCTCTTGCAGCTCCTAAGCCAGCAGGTGGCTGCCATACATCCTCCCCCTGACCAGCTGTGCGAGCTGACGGGAGGCTTCCCTGAGCCAAGTCGATTCCTTGGCTACTGGCCGGCAGCGCTCGAAAGAGAAGCCTTGATGTGTGGGGGACTAGCTATGACACTGGCATACTTAGACAAGGCGGTGGCGCTGAATGCGCTGAAACAAGGATCTGATTTTCAGTTAGCAATCGAGGCAGCGGAGCGCTCTTTGAAGATGACTGCGTACAGGCTTCAAACCTTAGACTTGCTTATAGCCATTGGCAACCTACCACCCCGCAGAAGCCCATGGACAATTCTGAGCAATTTGCAGGCGAGTCCCTAGCGCAAAGGCTTCCCTGATTTCGTGCACGGAACGGAAGCGGCCCAAGCATGCCCGAGCTGGAAGATCAAACCAATCATGCTGTAACGGTGACCTACAGACAAGCCTGGAGTTGGTCACAGCGTGATACGGGAAAGTGAGGTGGAGAACTGCGTTTCCGTCAACTCCCTCACTCCGTCTCACCCCTCCATGGTGACCCAGATTCTTGAGAAAGAGGGCCCAAAAATGCGGAAAGGGCCAAATTCCAGGCACTACTCATGTCCGTTTGGGCTCTCCTGTTACCTGGTTGCCCTCAGCCATGAGAAGGTTTCAAGCTTGCAGTCTTAGTGCAAGAATGTAAGGTGCCCTTGGCTGATAGTAGCTGCTCTGTCACTGTAGCCTGCTTCTCCAGATTTAGCGAGCCGCAAAATTTGTTGCGCGTTGTTTCGGTACCCCCGACATCAGCCCTGGCAGCAGATCACAAACGAGTCATGCTACAATGTGAAGTATCGGTTTGTTTGCCCTTTCGGTGGTCAGCCGCAGAACCTGAGATGCGGTAGTGTCAGGCAGACCTGCAGTTGCAACACAGCAGCCAGTAGTGGGCTGCACGCCTCACGCCACGTCCAAGACTCGTTGTAAAAGCCTATGTCACCCTAGCGCCAACCTGCAGCATGCTCGCAGCGCAGCCGCCAAGCAGGCATCTGCTTCACTTCGGCTGAAATGCAGATCGAAATAGTTTTGAGTTGCCTTTTTGGACGATACATGAGTTTTTCTGCTTTCAGGTCCCTTGTTGTGGACCAGCTGCAATTACCTTCGTGCCTCACCAAGCTGCCTCCACAAGCTTAATTGAAAAGTGCTTTTGGATGCTGCGAAGGAGCAGTCGTGCCTTTTTTTCGTCATGCTGGTCACCAACTCCAAGGACCAACACGGGAAGGGCCTTGTACTCAGGTCTCTCTTGGAGGCAGGTAGATTTTGGAAGCAATTGGTTACAGTTAATTGCATGGGACAAGGATGCACTGCCCGCCCGAGGCGCTACCTTCGATTTCCTCCATTTGCTGCTTCTTGTGTGCATGGACATCCAGGCTGGTGCTGCCTTAGTCGTTACCCCACGGAACTGCCACTTGTGCTCACAGACTTCTGAGCTTCCTTCAAGGAAGGAACTCTGGGTGTATTGCTTTGTTTTCACCGTGAGACGGAGCATTCAAATATGCCAGTGAAACCCTAAATCCCTGAAATTCCGCAGCGCTCTAAAGCAAACCCGAAGCTGGCTTGACAGGGCCCAGCGACTGCGGCGTCGTGCGTCGCAGGGACGCCCTTCAGACAGCCTTATCCCTAAATGCAGCTAGAAGTTGGATTCTTCCGTTGAAGCTGGAAAAGAAGGTGGAAAGCTATTTTGAATTACACAGAACCCAGTTTTTGCAGACTCCCATTTTGGCTTCACATGGTAGCATACCTGGGTGTTCAGATCCAAACAACACTCACGCCGGTCTGGGTCGCAGCTTTTGTTGGCCTCAAAGATGTCTTGGCTCCAAGAGCAATACAGCAAGTTGATTCCTTTTTTGAATCAAGCTGGTTCGTGCGTGCAGAGGCAAAAGTTTTTTCGATGACTGGTCATCCTGGTTGGAGGACAAGTGTTTGATTTCGACTTCTGGCCCAGTTTTGGATCTCCGCCTAAGTCAGCTGGGTTTGCATCATTTATTGTCATCGCATTCTTCATTGCTACTGCTAACAGGTTCAGAAAGCCTGTAATTTCGTATGGGCTTTGTTGGGTAATTGTGTAAGATGTCTTTGAGAACTGCTCCCCTCTGTACCGATATGGCAGTGCTCGTTCTCTAAAGACTAGTGTTCGTTCTCTGAGGACTGCACCAGCCAAGCCCGAAGCCTCGTCCAGGAAGACTTCGTTGCAAAGCTCGACTTGATCGAAGAGAGACTTCCGCCGCAGTTTGCAAGAAGGCACTCTCTTTCCCATGCAAAGGGCTTTCGCCAGACTTTGTCAATTTTTCTCTGACACCACGGGTTCGTGCATGGTCATGCTACATGAGGCAAGAACTGGCTGCAGAATGCTCTGGACTAACATGGTCAAGAACAGCTGTGGAAAAGCTGGTTTGTTAGTAGCGTTTGCTGGCTGCAAGCTGCGACTGGGGGCTTCTTTGCTGCAGGAAGGGCATTGCGCCTGCAGGCGCAAGTACCAGTGCACGGACTGCGGCCAGTGGCCTATTTTGCCAAATTAGTTTTGAAGTCTAATCTTCCAGTGTTCTAACAGCTCAGTGAGGCCACTATCGAGTCGCGAGTGTGGTCGGGACAGGCTCCTGACCATTTCACATTTTTTTTGCGACAAGGGACAAAATTGCTGGGCTGTGACGCAGTTTGAGCTTGCCGCGCTACATCTTGGCTTTGCAGGGTTCGTGCGGATGTCAGGGCTTGCACTCCCGTGCAATCGGGTGTCACAAGCAGATGTTGGCCCCATGGTGACAGAGAGTGACCATGATCCTGAGTTTGGAAAATCCAGTACCCAAACAGACCCTAAGGGCCATTATGAGGTGCATCTAGAGACTATTGCACTGCTGCAGGGCCCCGAGGCGCCAGTGCGGCGTGTGCGGTACGTCACCGTGGATGCTGGGCCACAACTCCAGGCCGGAGCTCTCAGAGGTGTGGAGGAAGCAAAGTCCTAAACCATCCTTGCAGGGGGCCCCCATAATCCCTTCTAGAATGCTTCCTATAGCTCTGTTTTGAGAAACCCACAGGTAAAGGTGGCGAAGCGAAAGCCAGTCAGCTCACCCCATCGCCACCACAAGGCCTTCAATGCCGTCGTTTACCCCGCACCCGACCGTGGTCTGCAGCCTGTGTTGGGTGTTGACGTGCTGTCTTTCAAGCCGAGGCCCAAGGCTTGAAGTTGGTCTGCACATGCAGAGGCTGTAGGAGACATGTTTTCCACAAGTCATTATTTCACTACTTCTTGATTCCAAGCTGCAACTCTCGCTTTCATGATGCTTGTCAGCCAAGTTCCCACAAGCGCCAGCTGTTCGGAGTTGACTGGGCGCCAATGCTGCCAGAACATCAGCACATTGAGGCGGGCCAGCAGGGGCTTTTACCATATCCCCCAACAAATCTAGAAACACC